CAATGAAGAGAAGCCAGGATAGGAGAAGTATTGCTTTTTAAAACAAGGTTAGCTTTAGCTGCATTGCTGAGCGATGAACTGCTTCCTGCTCCAGATGTCCCATCATGCCTTTGTGTCTGCAGGTGGATGAGATCTACTCGGTTCCCGACGTTGGGACGGTTGTGGGAGGAACTCTGTACAGGTGAGACGCCTCGAGGCTTAACGCCGCCGCACATGCTTCTTGTTCTTGTCTGATGCGTCCGTTCAGATCCAGGTTTCATCCAGTCCACTTCATTAGAAGCCTCAGAATAAATGTGCTGAGTCTGAGTCGGCCCTTCTGGATTGTTTTGCCAGCGGAGTGTGCAGGGAGGGCGAGCGGCTGGTTGTTGGTCCCACAGAGGAGGGCCGCTTCCTGCGTCTGAAAGTGGGCAGCATCCACAGGAACCGCTCGGCCTGCAGGGTGTTGAAGGCCGGGCAGGCAGCCACTCTGGCTCTGGGCAACTTTGACCGCTCACTGTTACGCAAGGTCAGAGGTCACCTTCCATTGAGTTGTTGATCTGCTGCAGACTCTGGACTGTTCCTGCGTTTAAAGGGGTCATAGAATGCAAAACTGAGTTTCCATTGTCATAGATGAATAACAATAGTTCAGCGGGTGAAATGGACGTACAGAGAAGTTCAAATCCATCACATCTCCTTTCTTTGCAACTCTCACAATTCTAAACTTCCACCATAAAACGGGTGAATCCAAATGAAGCCCAAAATTGACATAACTCAGGGATGTTGCCTTATTTGGTTCTGGCCTGTAGTTTTGTCACGTCCTGTAATTGACATCCAGACCAGCCCGCTGGTTCACGGCCCAAGAACATGAATAGAGGTAGATGGAAGAAGTTTAGCTGTTTAGTCTGCAGTTGGGTTTACTTCTACAATGATTACAAAGCAGGCAGTTTCTCTATTGGAAAGGAGCCAGAACCACTGGGGTAAATGCAGTTTTCCAGGCTGCATGGAGAAAGGGGAACATTTTTTTGTTTATTAGAAGATCCCTGCAAAGTTTGCTGCTCAGCTGTTCGTTTGCTCTCAGCATTTTACCAAAGACAGCTTTCTAAATCTTGGACAGTTCAAAGCTGAAATTGCTAAACTTCTTTTACTGAAACGAGGGGCTCCGACAGCTGAATGGACCTGACCGGCCATTCGAACAGAGCCATCAGCTCCGGGGCTGGTCCGGGTCGGGAGCCGGCCGGGAATGGAGCGGCCGTTGTAAACCAACCAATCAGCGCACAGCTCATCTAAATATTCATGATCATATAAGGAAGAAAAGCTGCCGTTTCATTCCAGGGTTTTTAACCAAACTCGCATTAGGGCTCATAGAACAGCAAATATGCCATTTTAGGCCCAACCAATGTTACACACCCATTCAGAGACCTTAAAGGGGAACACCATTTTTTTTCATTAGGCCCTTAATTTTACATTATTCCATCATGTTCTACTCACCCATATGAGTTTTGTGTCATTTGGAGCCGTTCTGAAGATATTTCAAGTAACGTCTTCCTTTGGGCAACGACTTGAAGGCACAAACTAAACTGTTCATCATTTAACCGCGGTTATATATTTTATATTTATATTTTTTTTAAACAAAGCAGCGCGTGGATGAGGTCATTGTGACAGGCAGCCCGGGCCACAGCCGGCTACGCTCTATCCCTTCTATTCATTCTAGCTAATCTGAATTGTTCAATTCCATTTCTAGAGCGAGATCATCTGTGGTAGCAGCACTAGACATCTTCCAGGCATGTGAGGAAAACTAGCAGCAGTTCAGCTGACAGGATGAATGAACGGTAGCTGGCGCGCGCGGATGATGTCATACACACTCCGCTTTGTTTTAAAAAAAATATTAATATAAAAAATATAACCACGGATGTCTGGGGGACAGTGATTGGCCTCCATGTAATAAATGATGGCGTACCATGAAGAATAAATGATGAACAGTTTAGTTTGTGCCTTCAAGTCATTGCCCATAGGAAGACGTTACTGGATATAACCTAACGGAATATCTTCAGAACGGCTCCAAATGACACTAAACTGATAGGGGTGAGTAGAAGATGATGGAATAACGTAAAATCAAGGAGCCAATGTTTAAAAAAACGGCAGTTCCCCTTTAAGGAGCAACACCAAAACCAGATAGAATCATTCTATGACCCCTTTAATCAAAGCAACATGCATCAGCTGGACTCTTTTTCCCTCTGGTTCATTAAAAGGATTTATAAAGATAAAGTTTTATTAGATCAGTAGGAGCCTCCAGAGGACATTGTTTTGGTAGAGTCAGGCTGTCGTCCTAAATGCAGCCATCCAGGTCTGCCTTAAGGGAAAAGTCGCTCATATTCAGAACTCAAACTACTGAAAGTCCTTTAAATATGAAATGATTCCATCCTGTTCAATAAA